ACTGCAAAAGGGCTACATCACAATTATTTCCTTTTTTTTTTCATCTCATGCTAATTAAGTGATTCTGGATCTAAAATAAATTATCTGATTACTTTTTATGTATTATTCACTATGACTGAATGAATCCAAAATTTGAAGTTGCACAAATACAGACTGACATTATTGAAACCTCAATAAAAAAAAAGTTGTCAGAATTACAAACCACTTTATACAATCAAAATACAAGAATATAGAACATAGTGAACCTTTATATAGTCAAAAATAATAATAAAACAAAAAAAAATACTAAAAATCTTTATAATGTATGATTCAATAACTAATAACATAGCAAAATTGTCTCAAATACATTGACTATAGGAGAAATAATTGCTGGCAACATTTATGTAGCATGCTATGTAATTTTTGCCATAACTAAGTTTGTGTATTTGTATGCTGTATTTCACAATGCTCCTAAATGTGTTTAAATAAACTGTAAGGATTGTTGGTTTAATGTATAATAATAAACCTTTTTTAGCTATCAGTTTTTCTTTATTAATAATAAAATTATTAATGAATGAAAATGGATGTTTGTTTGCTTGTACTTTAGCACAAAGCTATATCAGAACCTGGATTTTAGTGTTATAAGCCTTCAGATTTACTGTTGAGCCACTGGGAGGCTACGTATTTGGTACTTCTGTCTTGGTGGTTCAGCCGGTAAATCAATTTCACAGCAATGGTGTGAGCCAAGAGTCTTTGGATTCATGACGCAACATTTGTTTGAAGGCCAAACAATGTGAAGAGATAATCAGTTGGTTGGATTTGGCATTATTGATAGCAGAAGCATTGCTAAGTACTTAACAGTTTCACAGCTCAGGCCTATAGGCATGGGAATTTTCGATGTTTCAGTATGATATTGATCATGGTTTTCTATTCTGATTTTTTAAGAAACCAGCTGGGGATTCATGGCATGGACCCCATGTGTTATTAGTGGTTAGCGATGTTTCTGACTGATAGGAAATTTTGCATACAATGTGGCTAAAACTAAGTATTGTGATTTTGGAGACTAACCCATGAAGCAGCTGTTAGGGCTGCCTCTCTTTCCTGTCTTGATTTACAACATTTGAACAACTATTGTCTTAGAAAGAATGACTTGTTTTCAATGTGGAATAAGGTAATATATTGTTGTAATGCATCATACATTGTGAGTACTGATTCCTAATCAATTAATTTAAAAGATAAAAAGGTAACAAGGCAAATCAAACCAGTTCATAAAAACAAAAAACAATACAACTTAAATGTAACCCCTTTTATCTGCATATACATCCAACAAAATTGTAAAAAGTTCAAAGTAATTGCAAATGAACATCATCTGGCAAGACTATCCACTCTTCACACCTAAATCAAGCTTACCCAATTCTTCTGCATTGCAGAGAAACATCTAAAACTCCAAGTTCATATCATAAATTAAATGTCAATATTAAACTATTTGTTCTTTTATCACATTTAAGTACTCAGCTAAAGAATAAAATTTTATGATCAATCACAGTACACCAACATTTTTTTTAAATTTTCATAACCCTATGTTCCTGTTTCTTTGGCTGTTCCTACCAAAGAAATAATTTCTTTCTCGATTTTTCTACCCAAGTGCATGGACTTCATACTTGTCAATGTTAAAGCTAATTTTCTACAGTTCAGCCCATTCATGAAGACTGTCAGAGTCCTTTTGGATTAAGAGAACCATTCTCAACAGAATCAAATCCTTCTAGCATTTTATGGAGCAGCAAACTTAGAAATATTACTACCTAAAAAGTTATCCACACAATTAATATACTTAATGTATAACAGAAATCCTGAAGTAGACACCCAAGGGACTCCCACAAAATATATTCTTACAGTCAGAAACAAGCTCATCTATCATCACCTTTTACTTTCTACCAGTAGTCCAAATCTATATCATTTTCATAGCAATTCCAATTGCTTATGAAGCCTCTTATAAAAGGGTTTTCTGAATTTCAAGGTATACAACTTGAGGCAACATAACCTTATCCAAAAAAGCAGAAACCCCAATAAAAACTCACAGAAACTGGTAACGCAAAATAACTCTTTTACAAAACCATACTGAAAAATATTAATTAAATACCAACTTTGTAAACGTTTTTTAGAAATTTAGTTTTAAATTTCTGTGCATAAATATTATTTGTGTGATGAATTTGTTTGTTTTTTAGAGCAAATCCACATTGGGCTATCTTCTGTGTCCACCAGGGGGAATCAAAACCTAGATTTTAGTATTGTAAGTCCATAAACTTACCACTGTACCATCATGAGATTGTGTGGTCTGAAAAGAAAGTTTAATGTCATCTTTCTTTCTGGCTTTTCCTTTTAGCAAGGATCGCTGTCTCTCACATCATTTTTGTTCATTGCCAGGTCTTCTGCAATTCTTTTCTCATTCACATCTTCTTTAATCCCATCCTTCCAACACTTTACTGGCCTTCCCTGTCATTTCCTGCCAGCTATTGGCAGCTCTAATACTCTCCTTTTTGCTTGTTCTACTTCTCTTCATGTGACTGAATCACCTCAGCTTCACTTCTTTTGCCTTTTCCTCGATTCCACAAACTCCTACCATTTCCTTAATTCTTTATCTCTTCTCTTTCAGCAACACTCTCAATAGTCATCTCAGCATTCTCATTTCTGTTCATATCAACAAGCCTTCTTCTTTCTTCTTCAAGGTCCAGTTCTCAGCTCCATAGAGAAGCACCAATATAATTATGATCTTATATTCTTTGGCTTTCAGTACCCTTGGTAACCTTTTGTCACAGATCACTGTGGCCACTTCCTTCTAATTCTTCCAAATGCCTGAATTCTATCTCTCACAGCTTTCTCACTTCCTCCTTCATTTTGGATTGTACTTCCCAAGTACCTAAGGTATTTTACCTGTTCAAGCAGCTTTCCATTTCCATCTGTCATCTTGACCTTCTTCTTTCTTCCCCTTCTGCTCAACATGACTTCAATTTTTCTGACATTCACTTTCAAGCCTCTTCTTTCCATAGGCTTCTGTCATTTCCTTTTTAATGGGTTTTTATATAATTGTGAGTTTAGAATAGTAGTGTGAAAACAAAAGCTTCCTACTCTTAATCTGTAATAAAATATGCTACTTGTGTATTGCTAAGAGATGGATTGTTCATTTCTGTAAACTTATGTCTCTCAGATGTATTCATAGTATGTGCATGCACTAGTTGGTTATTTTTGTATAAGAAGTAATTATAAAAATTCTTCCAGCATTATTATATTGAAAACAGTAGTTTAAGAAAGTTTTAAGTATATATTTTTTTCTATAATGAAAGAAGTCACTCCATATGGAATTCTTTAAACTGCCATAAACCACTTACTTCAAAATACATACTTACTAAATCCTCCTAAAAAGTAGGCAATTTCATTTGTTTCTAACTTCCACATCCAAGCTGCAAACTCATCAAGTTCACCAGTAGCATAATCAACATACACAGCTTCTTCTTGTCTGCTGCAACCTATTGTGAGCTGAGTTTTTGTAAAAGAACTTACACTGCCAGACGTCTTTTCTGGATATACTACATAGGCTTTATGAATAGCATCTACATATACCTAGAAAAACCCAAGATAAATTTTCTTTCTTAGTTTCACTACATTTTGGATGTATATTCGACTACTTATTGATTTCATCTGGTGTAGATTAAAAATACTAATGGAATATTTTGAAAAACTGATATAATTTATCATAATTCAGTCTTTTCTTGACACAAAAATGTTTGAAAGCTCTAAAATATCTAAGTAAACCTGAATTTCAATTTATCACTAGACACTAATGATGTTGTCACTAATACTTTTGATCTCATGTTAGACTTGTGAAACATGTTATGAAAAATGTTATTATTTACATGAAGACCCGATTGCGGACTCCAACGGATGCCAATGTTGTTCCATGTATCGTTCCGCAGATGACCTGTAGCATAAGTGTACCATTTCTCTTCACCAGTTGAAACCAGAGCATGTAAAGTAATCCCTTCATAGTATAAAGATATACCTGGAATTCCCTCATTTTTTCCACCTTGAAAGAAAAAGAATTTCATTCCTACACGACTTGCTTTCACATGAAACCACATGATGAATAAAAAGTAGAAACATTCTACAAAAGCTTATTTATCAATAGTTCGATGATGTAAGAAGTAACATAAAAGAATTGAATAAGCATCAATCTGCTCTAAAGAGGCCTTAAGGCACAGTGTACATTGTATTATTAACATTAACTTAAGTGTTTGTTGTTGTTTTATTATATTGAAAAATATATTTTGTCACCAACGATATTACCAATGTGAAGAGCTATATTTTAAAAAGTCCCAGTACCAACAAATTCAACATACTTGAGCTTAAAAGGTAGGAGAAGTAGCAAAAATTTCAAAAATATCTATATTTTCTGCTCACTATAAGATAACTTTAAACCCTGAAAAGTAAAATCATAGTTCAGTTTTTTTTTCTTAATCGGTAGACTCAAGATGCGTATCTTCCTAGGTTACTTGATAACCAATTTGAAAAATAAAGCAGAAATTGGTGAATGTATAAATCTTATTTATTATTCCTAACAAGAAACATTATTATACATTCTTCATATTTTTTATTGGGTGGACTGTCCTAACACAAAATTTACATGAGTTTGGCTAAGAAATTAGAACATTGGTGACTATATTTACATAATCTGTCAAGAAAACATCTGTGTGAGCAATACACAATTTATTTAAGTTAGCTGCTGGTTCACCAAGAGATTGTATTATTAAGGTGGTTTCTACTATTGCGCAGGTTCTTTCGGATCATTGGGTGAAAAAAATAATGAAAGGAAGTGAGTTGCTATTTGGACGTTCACTGAGTATTGTGATTAATAGTATTACATCGTTGAAGTAGAGTTTTAATTAGATGAGCATGAGGCTAGAATTTTGAAATTATCAATGGAATTATGCCGTCGGTCCCCCCCCCCTCATGTACATGGATAAAGAAAATCCCATACAAGACAACTTAACTTTCATTCGCCAAAAAGTAGTTACAGTCCGTGCATAAATAGACTA